TCACCTGTTGCGGATCTCAGAAATGAAAGATAAGTCGCGGACTAGGAAAAGGTCTGGTTCACTGTTCTTTGATGACCAGGTCATTGTTCGTCTTTTACACTTTACTCAAGAGAGTAATTCTTTCCTTCTCCAAGTTCTCTGATGTTTCTCCTTGAGGTAAAAGGAATGGAAGGAAATTTTCTTCTGCTTTTGTAGCTTTTTGACCCTCATGCTTATTTTTGTGGAAATTCACAGTGACTTCAGGGTGTCCAATCAGCGAAAGTTTGCCGTCTTTATCTACAGAAACTGCTTCCAACCCACGTAGCAGGTGCGACTCCCTCTTTCCTTCCAGCATCGGTGGGCCTTTATCAGGGCCACAGCAGCCTCTTCAAGATGATTGTCACTGTCATAAACTGTATAACTGCAGATTTCTTCTGCCATGCCTTCAAGGTTATCAGTTCTTAGCCTTGGTGGAAGCACAACAAGAGCACCTTCTTTGTTGAATTCCCTATTTGCTCTCTGGAGCTGATTCTCATCACAATATGAAAAGTGAGGCACAACAAATACCTGAGGTCAAGATCTGATTTATGACTGAGAAGAAACAACCGTATCAGTGCAGCTGCCAAATGAGTCACCTAATATATCTGCAGGGCTGCTGGTTGATGATACTATGTCGGAGTGGCTAACTGGTGTTAGAAGTAATGTAGAGTATTATTGAGTGAGGTTTCAAGGATGCTGGAGTTGCAAGGTGGAGTTCTTCACACTGTAAGAAAAGTAACCTTAACCCACAGTCTTGAATTCCACTTGATGTAAGATTCATATATTAATTTCCAAAGTCCGCAGGAGGATCTGATCCAGAAAGGGCCGTTGGGTATGCAGGTTTTCCCTACAACTCCCTCATTAGATTACTAATTAGAGGACTGATTGGCTGAAGAGTCCTCACACCTGGGTTTCAATAGCTGACCAAAAGGTTATCCCAAAAACCTGCATACACCTTAGCCCTTTGCGGATAAGATTGTCCACCCCTGTTGTAGATACTATGCTTAAATTGTTCTTCACAATGCACCTTTACACAATTAGCATGCAAATCCTGTAATTCATCCCCCTGTTTTTTTTTAGCAAGATTAATGTCAGGGTTTTTCCCCTTTGTCCTTGGACAGGAAATGTGGAGATATTTGTGACAATCAATGGGGATTTGTTGAGCCTGGAAGAATAGATATGATAAAGAATCATTTGATCAGCTGAGTCCTGTGTGCCAGTATGAGTCCTATATTTTTGAAAGAATTTGTATGACAAGCAACTTATTTGAAGAAGCTATGTTTTGCGTCAGACCTGATTGTCCATTTGCCCACTAAAGGCCCAAAGAATTGAACCATTTGAGGATAATGTTCAAAATAATGGTATTTTGGTAAGAGTCATGCAGGAAATAGTTCAAGAAACCTATACCTGTCCTCTGCTATTTTGCAATGCAGATACGCAATTGTATCTATATTATGAACACAAGCCAATCTGGTTCACCCTCTGGTATCAAATCTCCAATTATACTTGGGTACAATCTCAATAAATTCCTGTTCTCATTACCTTCAATTGTCCATAAAGAGGCATAGTTGCATGGAATACTATGAGGTCTGTTTACTCTATCCCTCCACTTATATGAAAACTATGGATACTTTTTGGAAATAAGCACACTAAAACAAAGTGCAAGCTCAAGTGGAACGATGCCTGCAAGTAAGTGATGTATAATATCTCGAAGGTAGCCCCAAGAAACAAAAAATTCTCTGTTAAAACGTGCCATGTCTTTACGCCACAGCAGAGAGTTGAACTATCTTTTGCAGATTTAACATGGGTGTCATGTGTCTCTTTTGTTTGTGGGAAAAATCACCAGACTGAACAGCTGTAACCTGAATTTCTGTACTGTTACCAGTATAAAACCTGCAGAAAGACTCTCCAGAGAAGCTTTCAACAAAGCCTGCTATGCTATGGGCTGCTAAATTATCTGCAATGACAGACAAGACAGTCCATTATCTATAAATCCATTTCCCGAAACAAAAACACCAAGTGCCTCTAAAGTAACCAAATCCTGTAAAAGTGGCTCTACATTTTTTTAATAGCCATACACCTTCAGGTAATTTGTCTTACATTAGGCTGTCAAATACATATATGAAAGTGTTGAAAGTGACCCTGGTGGCAAGTTATTCAAAATCCAGTGGACACCACAATATTTGTGAGTCTTTCATCTGGTGACACCAATTTGGAGATTGCAAATTCTAAAAATGTCACAAAGACTATTAGAAGTCACTGGTACCAATGCTGAACTTAATAAATAATGTAGTTCCTGAAGTTATTCATCAATGGCTGTAGCTGGAACATGAAAAATATTCCCCAGCTTCAATTAAATACAGTACAAGCAATACTACAGCTTCATAAGGAAGAATATTTGGCATTATTATAATGTTTGTTAGTAATGTATATTAAAGCTACTAAGGTTTGTTAGGGTATTAAGGTATACTTATTGTTAAAGAATGAGGATTGTGTTTTCTATTCTGTTTGAAATGTATTATAAATGTTAGTTCTAAACATACACCCTTCAAACATACACGCTACTGTCGCATGTCTTCAAAGATGTTCATTTACATGTCTGAAAGATTCTCTCTGGTTTGAAGTCTTTAATAATTAGTACCCTCTGGAACTGAAACACAACACACATTACCCTCTCACATCTGGGAGAGGGGGTTAAGTGTAAAACTACATGAAAACAGAAAATATGCCACATATGTTACATAAACACAATTATTAGTTACTATAATGCCCTAAGTTTAAAATTGGATCAAACGGAATATTTACAAATTAAAATTGTGCTGCCAGACAACAATGAAAGATAGAAACAAACAAAAAGTACATAATTACACTGACCAAATACATGTGAAATTATAATTCACAAAAGGACATAACCAAGAATGAAACTGGACACTGATAGCTCTTTTGAGCCCATGCAGGGTTTTTAATATCAAACATAACTTGGAAAATTACCAAACCTAATGCGACCATCACTCACGAAAAAGCCTGCAATTCACGCAGCTAGCTATATGGATAAAAACTATTAACACAAGACAATAACCAACTCACTACTACTAGAATCATTACAGTATTCCCCCCCCTATCCGTGGGTGATGCACCCAAGACCTACCCTGGATGACTGAAACTGCAGCAAATCATATAACGTGATTTTCACGTACATACATATCAATATGGTAAAGGACTACTGTATTCTCTCAAATTCTTCTCTCAATATGGTAAAGGTTTAATTCTCTCAAATTAAAGGAATTCCGATGTTTTAGCCTAGTTCTCAAGAGACAACAGAGTAATGAAAAACATCACATATTAACAGATGGCAGAGCAAAGGAAATGTGCTTTTTATACCCAAAGGAAGAAGGAATAATGAAAAACATACTGTTACACTGTTAAGGACTAGAATGGTGAAAGGACAAAGGGATGATCCACCTTGTTGTCAGGATTGGACCCTGTCCTGTCCCTTTGGTATGTCTGTTCCCTGTTTGGCCAGCAGGTGTCGCTGGCCATACCAAGTCATTTACTCCTAGTGTGTCACTCTTCCCCTGGCCGCCGTGCGGCTTAATGGGTTAAACCGTCTTCCGTTATCCGGGCTTTCGTTTTGTAACGGATTCCTTCATAGTTATATGTAACGTACAATATTGTTCCTGTTCAAATAAATTATATTTTTGAACAGATGAATTGTAAGTTGATTCATGGTGAAGTTTTAGGAAACTGGCAAACTTACCATTATTTATCAAGGTAGAATCAATATAAAAACATCAGCCATCTTAATTTACAGAACATACAATAAGACTACAGTACAATAGATATAACAATCAGGGATAACTATGATACAAAACAAGGGAAACATAATTAACAAGATAAGCATACAAAGAACACGAAAAGGCCACAAGAACACAAAATTTCCAACAGGGTGAGGTTGGTCTCTAGCCAGCTTTCATCCTATGACAGAATAGTTACATGGGTCAGAGATGCCTGCTTAGCCCATTTACCCATGTCGCAGCCCAGGGGGCAGGGGAACACACTTGGAACAGAATAAACCAGGGAAATATCAGGAAACGGAATGGCCAGTGACATCTGCTGGCCAAACAGGGAGATTACAGATTGAACAGGTCAAGACAGGGACCAATCCTGATACAATACAATTCACTTATTTTATTTAGATGAACATCACATATATAACTTAACTTTCTGAGTTGCAACAATGGTAATTTTCAAGTACAGTTTATTCTTGTTTTTAAGGCAGCAGGTGAATTTTTGTTTCTAAGTTTAACAAACCTGAAATGTTTTACGGTGCATTTTTGCCTCCAGAACTACTTCAAGGGTGAACAAGTTGTGCATTTAGAGAAGACTGTTTGTACACTGTTGTTGTACTGAGCTGTAACTTTTTTCACTTCCTGTTCCTTAAACAAGTTTGGACATTCTTCTGTAACCTTTATTAATAATAAAGTGTTTTCAGCCAGATAAATGACATTTACTAGATGATTTTGTTCATCACATTATTGTCGGTAAATTGTAGACACTAGTATGTGAAAATTCCAGGAATGTGGGTGTTTCATTAATGTTTGGCACTAACAATATCACCACATTGCTTAGATCAGTTGTCTTGGCTAATGCAGTAAGTGTAAGTAAATGTTGAACAGTAAGTGCACTTCTTGACCCTGTCTGTGTGCTGTATGTATTTAGTTACAGCCACATGATTTGCTGTGTGGAGGAAGGGACTGTTTGCATTAGCAAGCAGGTGAGCTTAATAAACTGGCCAGTGAGTGTATATCTAGAGAAACAACCAGTAGCAGAGCAGTTTACTGTTCATTTTTATCTATGCCCCTCCATGTGAAAGTAATTTTCCAGGCTTGCAAACTGTAATGTTTTCCATTGATTTTCACTTGTGAGTAAGTTTTAATTCCATTTAGTAATTATATCCCCAGATTCTTCTGGCAGATGGCTGTAAAGAGCTGGCCGCTTGTCCTTCACAGTGCGTAAAGCACACACTAAAAGGCACCCTGGAAAATGATAGCTGATTCTCTGGTCAGTGCATAATAATGTATTAACATTGTACAACGTTGCAAGTCCTTTGCAAAGTATGATATACATTGTTATATTAACATAAAATGTTTGACATAATTAAGGTTAATAAGATTAATCAATTCCTATGTCGTATTAAGTAAGATGAAGTCTTTCCCCACTATTAACTAAGTCCAGTTAATTACAGATACAGATTTATCTCCTTGTTGCTCAACAGACATTTCAGATTAACACAGAAGTAATCTGCCAAATCCACCCCACTGGCCACTCTCTTTAATCCAGATAAATCGTGCTTAGATTTAAAAGGCAGCCATCCAGTGGCTGGCGGGTCCATCTAGGTCCAGTGTTTCCTGGGTAGGTGCCCCTCTCACCTCCTACTGCTATCAAGTATGGGCAACAGTAACAGCAGTGCGCTGTCCAAGGAACTCCTGGAGGAACTCAAGCTGAACACCAAGTACAGCGAGGTGGAGCTGTGTGCTTGGTACCAGACCTTCTTGAAGGAGTGCCCAAGTGGCAGGATCAGCAGGGAGCAGTTTGAGAGCATCTACGCCAGCTTTTTTCCCGACGCCGACCCAAAAGCTTATGCACAGCATGTCTTTAGGAGCTTTGACTCCAACAGTGACGGTACCCTGGATTTCAAAGAATACATGGTGGCACTGCATCTGACGTCATCAGGGCAGACTATGCAGAAGCTGGAGTGGGCGTTTTCCCTGTATGACGTTGATAGGAATGGCATCGTAAGCAAAAACGAAATCCAGGAAATTGTGACGGTAAGTATAAAAATGTCAAAATATCATTGTGTTTTGCATTTAAATGTTTTACTGGAGAATGAATTCTTCATCCAGTACTGTGTTTTACAAACTTAAATATCAGACGGGATGTGCATTTTTGGTAGATGACAGATATGGATATTGTTTTCGTTATAATTTAAATTTTTAAAAAGTTTTAAAATATATGTTGTTTTCGAAAGTCAATATTCAATATGATATCTGAAGAAGATAAAAAGAACCTTCCAGATGAAGAAAATACACCAGAAAAAAGAACAGATAAGATATGGGATTTATTTGGAAAAAAAGAAAATGGTAAGTTGCTTTTCATCATATTAAAACACCTCTGGACTTACCAACTTCCTCCCACAGTCTAAGAACATTAAGCACTGACATCTCTAAATTTCCTAGCATGTGTGATTGTGTGTGCGAGTGTGACTGTACTGTGCTATCTTGTTATTCCATCCACTTTGTCTAATATTCTTCCCGGTTCACAGAAATCCTTTATTGGAGAAGCGGAAGGGAAGTTGGACGGGAAATGTTGTACATTCATAGAATTAAGCAATGGTCAAATTGAAGTTAACAATTATTAAATAATAGGAAGTCACGTGATATGAATTTTGTGTCCACTTTGTCTTCCCAGATAAAATATCCGAAGGTGAGTTTATTCAGGGAGTCTTGGACAATAAAGAAATTCTAAGGCTGATCCAGTTTGACAAACCACAGAAAGTCCAAGAGAGGCTAAAGGAGAAGAAGCAATAGTTTCTGGAGACATTCTTTTAAGTGCATCGATGTTTTTACTATGGTTTATATTTGGACTGTTTGCATACTTTACTGATCTGTTCATCATCATACTTCTTAGATTAATTACTTAATAATCCCCAACTCTATGGAGTCTCTGATCTTATTAATAAACATTCTGCCACTCTTACAAGCTTACACTCATGTTTTGTAGTGCTGTTCGATGCTTTTTTGAATTTCGGCTGTCATTGCTTTTAAGTACTAGACCTGCTGTTCCCCTTCAGTTATATACTTTCTACTATCCAAGCAACTAAAACAATGAATACACTATTCAAAAACATGACATGGTATGAAAAAAATAATCAGTGATTAGTGATCAACACCAGTCCGCAACACTATAAGGTTCGGCAAAAGGCTGCATAAAAGACTCTCTCAATATGTTCCAATTTCTAGAATTTCCCCCTAAACAATAAGTACCCCACAAGAAAGGTCAGCTGTGATTTACATGTCACTGCAACCTTATATAGCACTGTTTTGCAGGTTTAGACTGAGTGGAAATTTAAAACCATGCAGCTGATGCAGTCTGGTGAGCAGTAGTATTGGCATTGCTAATCAGCATTAGCAGACATGACAAAACTCTTCTTCTAAAAAGCAGACGCAAGTCGCAGAACAAAACGATAAAAAAACGTTATAGTAAAAGAGTATTTAATTTAATTTAATTTTAACTGTATTATTATGTTATATTTTTTTCTTGCCTGTGTTGTAAGATGAATGATGTGTGATAGGTACCTGTAACGTGTGTCTATGGATGAGGACTCTGCACTGCAAACCAAATCTGCCTACATGTACAAATAAAGTAATCTGACCTGACATGACATCAGAAATCAAATTTCATTTCAATAAGTTGTCTTATCTCCAAGAAGTTAAAATGTACCTTTCTTTTTAATTTCAAATAATATTTTAAAATAGAAGTTGGTTTACTTTTTTATGAGGATACATTTAAGCCTCAGCGTCAATATGTAAAAGCCTTCACACATGCAAAGTTCTGTACTTATTCCAGACTTTGTATATAAAAGTACAATTCTAATGATGTAATGAACTTTGTAATTAGAATGAGTTTATTTCCCTGCACAGCTGGACCCCTACTGGAATGACTAAACATTTGCTCAAGAGAAATCATTGCTTTCTGATAAAATCTCCATTTCCATTGTGTTCAGTGCCATTTATGACCTCATTCCAGCTGTAGTATTGGTAAAAAAAAATATTGAATCTACTGCTTTTTAAGATTAAATGTGCCTTGGCATCTTTAATGTCTATTTGGACTAACCCACGTTTTTCTCGTCCAATCTAAATGTTTCCCAGAAAGGATTTTTTCTTACCTTCACAGACATGAAATAGGATTTAATTGTCTAACAAGAATAAATCCAACACAAAGCAATTTCTTAGAAATGTGGCTAAACATCACACTGAACATGTATACATTATGATACATAAAATATAATGTGTATGACACATCACATTTATTTTGCAGGAGTCCACTAAACACAGTAAATAATAACTGCAATACATATTCTTCTATAGAATGCTTTATGGATTTTGTATTCTAATGGTAATCCAAAATATAAGAATGTTTAAACATAACTGAGACAGGAATGTGCAGTAAATTAACTATAAAGTATGTCCAATAAAAAGCATTTTATAAACCCAATACATTGGTTTTCCCTGGGGAGATCTTTGTTTTCTTTGTCGTTCTTTATGCAGTTCATTCTGATAAAGATTTAGAGTCATAATATACCATTGAAAATAGTCACTTTGAAGAATGTCAATGGGTTATCTTTATGTATATGACTAGTCCATCAGTTAGCAGGAAAGCATACAGTACCGTATAAACACCATTACATAAAGCTTTTGAACCTCGTCTGATGATGAAATGTAAAATGGTTGAACATACGCTGTTTATGTTTACTGCGCCATATGTGGTAGCTGAAGAGACTGATCCAAATCAATGTATCAAGAATTTTTGCCAGAAGACATCTTTGGAGGTTTGCAGATTTCAGGCTGTTAAGAATTGACTTTTATTTACACTTGACTTTGTGAGACATAAGTAATAATATTATGAATTGCAAAAATTTTCAATAATTTACATCTGAATCATGAGACGGAAGAGCTGAGAAAATCTTGCCGCTAGGTAATCTTACAAAAAAATGACCAAAATGGATGTTGTACATTGGAAGGCCTGCTGCTACAGGCCTGGCTGTTAGAACATACTTTCCTCCAGTACCTCCTCCATCGTATCTCCTAGTGTCATCTCACCCTCGCTGCTGGATAGGCTTCGGCGGGTATTGAATTTTGGCCTGTTAGGCTGACATAGCTGGGAAGGCAACCCAGCCTGGCCTATCAGCCATAGTTGTTGAACATTAGAAGGAGCGCTGATGTCCTGTACACAATTGCACTGGTCGGGGCAGTCGGCTGGCCTTCTTCTTGAGCACTTCCACATGTGTATACCCTGGAAACAGCTTTGCGCATCATAGTGGTTGGCAAACAGAAAAAGCTGCCAGCGTTTCTTGATCTCTGCCTGGACCTGGACACCAATAACCAAAAAAGGTTGATCCAGACACTGCAACACGGCAACAAATGGTTTAATATTATTCCAACGTAGTCTCTCCTCTAATTTAACATGATATAAAAAGACTGAGGAATTTTAAGGAATACAAAATCAAGAGTCTTACCTCTCCATTAGCAAAACAGTATAATATAGCAACAAGAAGGCCCTAAAAAGGAATCATTATTCAGGGACATATAGGTGATATTACTACATTTATTACAGCGATAGTAAAAATCTTCAGCTTCTTAAGAATAAATTATCTATTAAATTCAGCAATCTTGCAATTTTGTTCCCACCTGAGACAAAATACGGTACAATAAGCAGAGTAAGGCACACTAAATTAAAGGTGTTTAGAAGATACCGATTATCTCACCTGGAAGGAGCTCAAAGTCAAATTGATAAAGTTTCGCACATAGAGTGCTCCGTCCTCCATGTATTCATCTATAAAAAACGTGAACACCACCTCGTGGATTCCCAGCAGTGGAATAAGCACCAGTGTCGCTCTGGCTAAACTGTCCAGAAAGCAAATCATTAGCTATGTGCATGAACCGCATGCCGACATATTGATTCTGCAGTATCACTGGAGTAGCTTACCTGTATCTGTAGTCAGCGAATTTCACCTGGTCTGCCTTTAGCTTTGACAGCAGTAGTTTCATAATTTTTATAAATATGTAAAAAATGACCTGCAGTGAAAACATTTTTGTTGTGTGAATGTACATACATATAATATATATATATATATATATATATATATATATATATATATATATATATATATATATATGTGTGTGTGTGTGTGTGTAGAAAGGGTCAATTAAATCTTTCAGTAAATCAGTGTATACATTCACTGAACTCACCACCACTGATAAAGTTATGGGTCCTCTTATTATCCACCAGATCCACATGTTGTTATTGGGCCAGCATCTTAAAACAAAAGCAGTAATCTGTTTCATTTGATGTATTTACAAAAATCTGTTGACAAATAATTGTCAACCCCATCATGATTCTAACCAGAATAAGTGGTTAGCAGACGGATCCGCAGTTGTCGAACTTATCAGCACTTGAACAGAATTCTTAAGAAAACACTAAGAACCAGACCCCAAAGTAAATGAAGATCAGATGGACTGGTAATTTTAGTCTACTCATTATCTTCTTTAGACTTTTTTTAAGATATGAATGAGACTCAATGCACTCACTTACGAAAGTTTATTTTCGAAGAGACTTACGCTTGATTTTCATACAAAACTTTTGTTACGGTCCAGGGCACCACAAATGCAAAAGGAGTTCCTAAAAATAGATAGATAGATGGATGGATGGATTGATTCATTCATTCATTCATTCATTCATTCATTCATTCATTCATTTACATGATTATTACATGGTGTAACACACTTGATCCAACATAGGATCCAAGTCAAAATCCAGGAAAAATTCTGCAGGTAATCAGGGAAATATGATGTTCATTTGCAACAAATTTTCACCAGAACTACACCGATTTCACATATATAGCGACTTCAGAGCTTTAACATGATCACAAAACGGACAGCTTTAAACCATGCACTTGTGAAACCTACCCCAGCCAATGAGAAGGTATCGTTTTAACAACCGTCTCTTGGTGAGTACCGCAGTGAACAATAACCTATGGAGAAATATCGCTTCCACTAAGAGCCAGAAGTAGTTTCCACCCACAAAGTAATGCATTGACACTTGACTAGCCTTACAGACAACAGAGATCTGGAAAGAACAATACATAATACCCATATTACTTCATCATAAATGACCACAACACAAAATTGTATGTTGCTTTAGCAATTAATTAAACTAAAATTACTTAATTAAATACATGATTTCCACAATAGCAATATAAATGAGAAAATGATATATCCCACAATACCACTGAGCTGGTATATTCCTTCCATCCTGTGTCATCAGTGGGTAGGTTAGTAAACTTAACTTGAAAAATTATTTCCTTGATCATAACTGCTGCAGCTCGAAATATGAAGGACATAAAGAGATTCATATGGATGTAGTTTCTTGTGCAGTGAAGTTTCCTGTTAAAAAAATCATATTTCAAATGACATCTGGTTATAGTCTGTCTGTGGTTGCTTGATATCAATTATTTGCTCACATAAGTGTTAATATTATCACAATTTATGACTAATACTCCTTGTATTAGTCATAAAATATCATAATGTCGTGTTACTACCCCAAAGAGTGTTTTAATGTTATTATGCATTTAGAAAACTATGAAATCCCATAGCCCAAAATCTAGGTTACCTCAGCAATCCCATAATAAAAACAGCCAGGGTCAGTGAGGACAGAGAAAGTGAGTATCCAACCATGTAGATGACACGCAATACTGTTTGAAGGTGCATATAATCTTCCTGAGAGAGATAACAAAGGTCAGTACTAATCACACAAGGATTCCGCTTACAAAGCTGGCAGGATAGGAGAAGGTCCTGCCTGTGAGTACACGAGTTACCTGTGGTTTGAAGTAATGTGGGTCGATACATTCTGATTGGTCCCTCCACACGTCTGTGGAGTTTTCCAATGTGCGCCAGGTCCCGCTGGAGGTGCACTGCCTGTACACCCTCGCCAGGTTACCTGAGCATAGAGATACCCGTCAGCTTGCGTCAGACTACATCTGCTCCGACACTGCTGATCAAGTCTTCCAAAATGACATTAGCTCCACCCATGCAGTTTTACAAGTAAATCGTACATAATCATGGTGGGTCCTGACACTGCCAGGCTGTCTTTGCCCCTCCAACACCTCTACATACACATTAAGTTTATAGTTCTCCATAGTATTTATTTAGTACAATGTTGATTGTTGTGTCAATTATGTATGTTATTTATGCCTTTATGGAGGATGCTAGCAAATTTGTATTTGTGTATTTGTGTAAGCCACTTGCACAATGACAAATAAAAATCCTTATAATAAAGCTGGATTGTTCCATCTATGAAATCACACCAGAAGACAACCCCAATAAAGTCTGCAGGGGAAATCACAGCCGTAAGAATAGGGCGGGATTGTGTGGACTGGGCTTTATAGTTTTGCTGGGACCAGCAGCAAATGATCTGCTCTTAGCCAGAAAGGCCGAGAAGTGTTCTTCAGTGAGGCCAGGTAGACACAATCTATGACTGTGTGGTAGGTGAACACCCTCAAGTTTCCCCGCTGTATCACCAGACACAGAATAGGGCTTATGGTTAACATTAAAACTATATTCAGTGACTGAAATATCCATACTATAACTAAATATATATTGAGACGGTATTAAATAATACAAAAGAATCATGAGTTAAAATAGATTGCTGTAATTTATGTACTGTGATTAGTCAGGCACTACAGTGGCAATCGCATTGTACACTTTCCTAACCTTCTGCAAATCAAATCAATCATCTGCTCTTCTGTGTTATGGGGATGTGATGGTAGTGTCTCGCACTGTTGATAGAACATGTTTTCCTGGAGGTTTGCATGTGTGTAATAATTTACTTATTCTTTTACGTTGTGGATAAAATGATGTTGACTATTCCTGGTATATAATTAACAAAGGAAACTTGTTTATCTTGGCCGCAGGAAATTAGAATTCAAATTAAATGAGTACTAAATGGAGTCTTATGTCACTATGATTTTCATTGGTTAAATGCAAGATGAATTTACAGCTTGGGACAAAGAGAGGTTCTATGTAAGTTTTATGCATCTAGAATCATTCTCTCAATCAAGGTTTGACAACCAGCAATGCCGCTTTCTATTCTGAAGAAAAATGGGATGGTAAAATAAATGAGATATAACATCAAAGTCCTTTTCTTCTCCACCTTTGCAATAACCTTCAAAGATTCAATTTGTTACTCCTTTAATAGCAGTGATGTTCAGTAGCAGAAGCAAATCCAAAAAGATTCATATTTATGAAAAGGCAATGTTTTTATTTAGACTTCTAGACTTTTCCATTTTTATACTGATACTATAAATTGATAACAGTATCATTAACATCAACCTGAGAATAGCATGCATGAGTATTTTGATTTTCGAATGAATGCAATTATGCTGTTTAGGATTTATGCTTCAGTTTTACCTTCTTTAATCCACGGCAGATATGAAGGACATGGTACAGATACATTCCCAACCAGCGAGTGTGGCCAACAGACAAAATGATCAAAGGATCCATTGCAATAAACTCCTGTAAAGGAAAATATTTTTTGATAGACACAACAGACACAAGACTAAGCAATCCTTATGTACAACAAGGGTGCTGCTAGTGATGTTGGGCCCCATGTAAGTATATTATATGGGGCCTCCAACCCAGACCAATTTAATTATGTTTCAAATTCCTTTAGGTGCCTGTCACTCAGGGGCCCTTGGAATTGTCCTTACACCCCCCCCCCCCCCCTTATGGAACCTTTGTGTAGAGCACTTTACTACTCCTCAATTTCGCCACAAACAAAGTGATGTTTTGGGCACTCACCAGTTCTTGAGATTTGGCTGGATGCTAAGGTCCTGGTGCAATTTTCCCAATACTCCGTTCGTTTATAAATGGTGTCTTCTAGTATCGAACCCATTACCTTTTAAGTGCATAGAAGAAAACAGCAGGTGTTTTTTTATTAACAATCAAGAACTTTCTAAGCCATCTTTTATGAAAACTACTCACCCATATCAAAATTTTAACGGCAGTGTTTATAATCATTTATCCACAAGATGGCAGTGTTTAAATAACAAGCCAGATGGGAAAAGCATTGCACGCCACCAATGTAGATCAGTATAAACCCTTTTCTAAGGTGAGGATGCTACTCAGTAATTGTTACATTTTGTATCATTAAAGAATTCACGGATGTATGATGAATTCCTGACGTTTCGATTCTGTAGCTTTCTGCATTATTCTGCCTCTAATACTAAGATTCAACACAAGAGCTTGTTTAAAAATTATCAGTCCTTAATGCTGACATTTTAATGTGGTTTTGGACTTGGCATATACTCTGCAGTTTAATCCTATGTAGCTTTGTGGACTCAAAATAAAAATGTACCTGATTTAAGGTTTGTAACATACAGCATATGCGTACATATATTACTGTGAAAAACAGATATGGTGATAGAAAGTGTAATCTAAACCCTAGATACTCAATTGCAGCTTGTACAATTTAATCCAGACTGATAGTCGTGGTCCCCCCCCCCCCCCCCCACATCTAGCTGGTAGGCATTCTGCTGGACACCCAAACAATTCATTAAATGTATTTCTGGTTATGGATCTGGGACAGTAGACTTTGGATTTGTGTCGCTGAAGGAGTTTGTAAAAATAGTTGAGTACCCCCCCTCAAGACCTAGTGCAGCACACTGAAAAAGTGAATGCCCTTTTTGGCTAAAATATGTGTTTTGTTTGTTTGTTTGTTTGTTTTATGTTGTTCTAAATGTAGCTAATCCAAAAGTAACTACTTAGAATCTGCATATTGTGCTTAGTGTGACCAAACCAATGCCAGTCTAATAATACATATTCCACATGAGTCTCCATTTGCCCAGCTTTGCACATCGTCATATAATGTAATATAATATAATGAATAACTTTCTACCATATGTAGAACAAAAAAGTGTAATCCAAACAAATGGTCCCAGGAGACCTGAAACAGCTGAACAATAGGTGGTGGATGGACTGGGGGGGGGCAGCAAAACAAAGATCAAGGGAACATATGAGAGAAAGCGAGGGAAAGGTGTGGAAGAATGAAATTAATGTCTTTGGCTGGTATAGTGATTGTGTTTATTTATGGCACCATAGCAAGTCAAGCACACTAGAAACACAGTAGCTTAAAACGTGTCATTTCTTATTAATAATTATAATTTTTTTAACACTATATAATATATTGCCCTGTATACTGTAAGATGAAAACTGCTAGCTGTCAAGGTTGCTGCTCTTGTATGTGCAGTACCCGATGAATGAGACAACTACATAAAACTAAAAATGCAATAGTCACTTATTAGATGGGTTCTAGCTTGGCGGATTTGCTTAGCAACTACTGCCACATGGGTTTGTGTATGAAAAAGGCAGAGACACACTTCATACATCACATGTCTGGATTCTGTGCATTGTGGACAGTGCCTTTCTACAGAGTGTTACACTTGATTTAATATATTTTAAGGTGCAGCCTCTCTAAGGATTCGCATTTCCTAATATCCAGGACTGTCTTATCCGCCAAATCAAAAAGTGAAGAACATTGTTTTTTCTTCATGCTAGAATTCAATAACCATGATTACTTTACTGGAATGATTATGTTGCATAAAATCATGCCCCCCTTAAAGGATTTTGTGTCACCGCATGAGAGCAAGGCTTAAACACTGCCATTTCCAGCATACTGGCCTGTTCTAGCAACACATGCTCATCTAAATATTCTCCCAAAAAACATTCTGAATTATTCCATCCATAAGGTAGCATCAGACGACCAGGTTTTGCTATTCCATTGCCAATGGTGATTCAGTTAGAGTCAGAACATTGGATAAGGTTGGACTGAGAGCAAGGAGCCATCCAGGATTATGTACAAAATCTCAAGTCTTGCAAAATCACACTCCCAATTTTCCTTGCTATGCTTGGATTCATTCAAGGACTTGAAAAACTCATTTTTTAACCTCTGTGCAGCTGCTTCTGAATGTGAATATTACTGCACTCCTCTACGATGCAGTGCAACGCTTGAGGAAGCACAGAGGATACTTATGTTTGTTTTCCTGCCACGCTACCACATGGGTCCATTTTTTAAGATCCCTTAGTCCCCTCTTTGACAGCAAACATTAACTATACTTGAGAGTGGGAATAAACATTACAAAAACCAGATTCCAGAGCCCTGGGGAGAAAACGTGCCTGATGATTCAGTATTAAGAGCTCTGAGAAAAGACTAGTGGAAAGAGGTTAGTGCAAGGAGGATGCAAAGTTACAGATAAAAAAAAATCTAAATTAAGGCTTAAATAATGCCCATGAAAAATTAACAGAAAACCCATTTTTAAATTCAATGTCCTTAACACTACTTCTGTAGAACTGATGTAAAAATACTCCATAGAATTACATTACTGTCTTCTATTAATGATTAGAGGTTATAACAACAGCCTGATGAGAATGGAAAATGATTATACAGTACCTAACTGATTTAATTTACAAGAAAAGAAACGCGATCTGGATATGAAAAGGGAGTTAAACAAGCAGAAAGTGCAGGGATCCCACAGAATCTGTTATCATTTAGTGTGCGTTTGCTACAGGTACTACAGCATATGTAAAGTCACGTTTTCCTCAAAAATAGCAGTGTGACTCCACACTTCTAACACTTTCAAGGCAATAATACACTTTACATGCAAAGATAATTTAAATCCAAAATGCAGGTCCTTTAACCCTTCAAAATTCCCTAAATAAAGTACACTCTAAATGATTTTTGTCCTGCTGAAGTGGGGTAGGTGTCAATGGGACATGCTCCTAGTTCCACTAAATCAATGAAATAACATACATCTTATAAATCAGACAATAACGAGAAATAAATATATATAACTATGCCACATCTTTTCAATATGCCATTACTGTTAAGAGGATCATTTAGTACTGCAAATACATTGTACAGTAGCAGTATATCAAAGGAAATAGATTCTAAATGCTTTTGAATGACATAACCACCATATACAAAATTGGAATCCATGTGGTGCCAATTATATTTTTTGTTATTTCCATATTTTTACCTATTAAAAATAAACAAATATATAAACAAAAGGTAAACAACAATGAAACAGAGCGACCCTAATCAAATCTTTCTGGAATTTCTTCATTTTATAGGGTAATAAAAATGTTTATATACATGCAGTCTTTGTATATACACACCTTTATATAATAAACTAATACTGCAAGGTAAACACTAAGTGCAAAAATTATATGTATGGTGCTCTGCTCTATTGGCCATGCATAATTTAAATAAGCACTTTTGTCCTATTTAGAACAGCCCAAAAATCCATAGATGCAGAAAGAAACTCAGGACTATCTCAGCATATATAACATTGCATATCATTTCATCTATCTGAAATCCAAACACATATTGGTCCAATCTGAATCTGTTTACCATGTATTGTACACATATTATGTTTTTATAATAATTGCAGCTTTTATTTACCACTATAACACTTTTCAAATTTTCCTTATATATCCATTACTTATTTGTAATTCTTACATGATCTTCTCCAGCACTGCCTAATTACAAAAGATCAAATAATAGGTAAACACCACAAAGAATACAGCAAAATGTTAAACTTTGATCATGGTATTATACAGTTGTTATGCAGTGTTACAGTTTCATTCTCAGATGATAGTGAACCTCATGGTTCATGAGCGAAGAAGCATTTTAAGTATGATGGTTAATCAATAGTCAGCAATATCAGGGAAATGCCGGCTCTTACCTGCAGGTAAGGCAGCAGCAGGAGGACAGCGAGCAGTAGCGTATTTTCTGGTGCCTGCCTCCCATGCTGCGGTGGCAGAGTAGCCATGGTACTCTGTTTACACACAAACCACTCTCAGAACACTTAATGCTCTCGTGCTACATCCATGCTGGGGCCACCCGCCGCCTTTGGCCATTCTCGATTCCCAGGACTTATACTGAATGCAACGCGGCAGATTAAAATTAGACAGAATAGCTCTGACGTAAAATGTGAGAGGCAGAAAAAAAAAAGTCACTGCAACTGCTATTGTATCATAAAGGTGCGCCCCGCGGTTAAGATAAAACATCCGGACACCTCTGGAACGTGCTCTCAAGTGCCACGACAACATCTGACAGCCTGTGCTGCCTAAGTCACAAGCAGTTCCCCTCCTAGTGCTGTGTAGCCAATCAAGACAAGATGGGAGTCCTACGTTAGAATATGGTAACCATGCAGTCAAAAGGGGGTAAAAGGAGCTTGAAATAATAACAATAGAAATGTTATAATACAAAGTCAGCGTTGCTCGAAAAAACAAAACATATAAGGCATATGTTTTAATCTAAAGCGAGCTAAAAAACCAAACTACTGACCTGTCAGAAAAGCTGAAGTCTGTGCTATGGACTGGTGTCTTTTATTTTCTAATACCGCATTTATTCAGATTCGCCTCCCGTAGCTCCAAATATTGGCCTCTTGACTCTTGTCTTTCGGAAGGCCTTATTTACATGTACTGTAATGGCTAAAAAAGAATGAATGTGAATTGAACATATGTGTTACATCCTGTTCTGTTGTCTGTTGCTTTTCCCCATATTGCATGTATTTATTATGTTTTCTTACTCCTATATATTTCAAGCTGTCTTGTCTTGCACTGTCTTGTTTTGTAT